TATATATATATATATATATATATATATATATATATATATATATATATATATATATATATATATATATATATATATATATATATATATATATATATATATATATACACACATATACATATATACATACATTCTTGTTGCAGCGTGGTAGGAATACTTATAGCCGCGGACAAGCGACCTTATTCAGGGGTAGAAAACTCTGGTTTTAAACATTTAATTAGCGTGCTAACCACGCAACGAAGTCCCAAGTAGAACGCATCTCACAGCTATGGTGATACCCTCCATGTACAAGAATGTGAAGGAGAAAGTTATTGAAGGTCTTAGCAGTTCACATTTAGTAGCCTTGACTAAAGATTGCTGAACCTCCAGAGCCACACAGAGCTTCATGACTGTCACAGCGGTCAGAAATATTATTATATTGCATAAAAGTCTTAAAACAGCATATCTTGTGCTTTCAAACTTTTCTTTTTTAAATCGAGAATCGAATCGAACCGTGACTTTAGAATCGAAAATGTCATCGAATCGAGGATTTGGAGGATCGTGACACCCTTATTGACTATGGTTTTTCAGTTGTCTTACTACTGTTTATCTGTCCTCATGACTCACAGGTAGTCAATGGATCGGTGTACCTGGAGAGATTCGCGGCTACGAAGAGGCTCATCGACTGTATGGAAAGCTGCCGTGGTACAAACTGTTCGAACCCTCCATCAAACTAGCGCGAGAGGGATTCCCGATGCCAGAATACCTCAGTCAATTCATACAGCATGCCTATATTAAGCAGATTCTGTTCTCGGGAACTGGACTCTGGTACTGTATCTTCTCCAGACAAACAAATACATACTATTGTGTACACCGCTGTTTGTTATGACTGACATGTCAATCTGATAGTTTATTTAAGGGCAGAAGTGTCACGAACCTAGAAAAGCATTCCTAATGAGCATCACAGAAGTAGGTTATTATTAGCCGTAGGCAAACCACAGGAAATATAAAACCTCTTTCACTGTTTTGTAAAGAGATACTCTCTCCAGCAGGAATCAACATATCTCAATTTGTTAAATACCTTTATATATTGGGAAAACATTTCATGAATTATGCACTGTAACATATCTTAAAGACTTCTTAAAACAATCAATATTTTCATTCAGCGTTTTTATGTATTAAATTCATACGGTAAAGACTTATTCATTTAGAATCATTTTTATTTTACATAAATTCTGTTTTAACTTTCTATTCATCCAAAAAATCTGTTTCAAATGCATCACTGTTTAACTATTTAAACTTTTTAAATAATAAATCGTACATAATACATAATAAATATATGATAAAAAAAGGCTTGTCGCCTATCCAAGTTTTAACAAATAATATCTTGACTTCTAGTTGATCATTTGGTATCAGAAGTGGCTTACAGGTAAATGAAAGGCCTCCAGATGACGCTTATTTTAGCAAAATCAAATATGATCATGTCTTGATTTTTAATGATTTAATCAGGACAGTAAGGTTTGACTTTGCTTAGATAAAAGTATCATCACTGAACAGAAATAATGTCCAGTCTAGAATATAAAGTCCTGCTGCAGTGGACACAGAATGAATATTGTGTCTGACTCCATCATGAGCTTGGAGGACTGCATCCATACATCTCTGACATGACTCAAATCACTGATTAATAAAGTCATCTGGAACGGCAAAGAAAGCGTTCCTGCAGGACTCCCAGAGTTCATCAAGACTCTTTGGGTTCATCTTCAATGCCTCCTCCTTCATCTTACCCCAGACATGCTCAATAATGTTTATGTCTGGTGACTGGTCTAGCCAATCCTGGAGCACCTTGACCTTCTTTACTTTCAGGAAATTTGATGTGGAGGCTGAAGTATGAGGAGGAGCACTATCCTGCTGAAGAATTTGCCCTCTCCTGTGGTTTGTAATGTAATGAGCAGCACAAATGTCTTGATACCTCAGGCTGTTGATGTTGCAGATCTCTCGCACGCCCCCATACTGAATGCAACCCCAAACGTTCGAGGTTACTAAAGTAACCCTTCGTTCCCCGAGGAGGGGAACGGAAGCACTATAAGTGGATTTGATTGTAAAATCCACGCATTGGGAGGTTCGGTTCAGAAGCTACTCGTCTGAAAGAGTATTGAACGGGCCAATTAAGAATGAATTGGCAGCGCAAGCCTGCGCAGGTGAGCGGCATAAGCAATCAACTGAGTATATAAGCTCACGGGGCGCAGCAGACGCTATCCTTTTTAAGCTGAAGAGACTTTCAACAGCTA